TAAGGAAGTCTATAAACATGTTGTGATAATATGTACCAAATGGTACTTAATAAACTCCATCTATAATATCAAAAGCTAAGAAGGAATAAATATAAACTACCAACAGTAAGAATAGACATTATCTTTAATGGTAAAATGTTGAGCGCATTCCCACTAAAATTAGGAAGACAGTGATGTTAATACCATGACAACTATTTATCATTAAAATATAACAGTAAAATGAAGTGAAATAAATGCAGGTACTGGACAAAAAGAGAAAATAGCATCTCTGCATGACAACAATGTAACTCTACACTTAACAGAATCCAGGGGATAAAAAGGGACCCAGACTAATAAAAATCCATTTGTAAAAATGGTTGGATGTAAGAAATATCTCTATCTCATAGAAACATGCTAGAAAGAAACAAAATCCCATTCACTTTACTAGCAAGAACTATAAAATATCTACAAAAACATAAAAAAGAAAGTTCAAGACTCATATTTGTAAAATTATAAAATCTTACCGAAAGATTAAAACAATCCTTCAATAATGGGAAAACAGCATGAAAACAAAAAACAACAAATGTTGACAAGGATGTGGGGTGGAGTGGAGGAACCATTTACACTGCTGATGAGAATGTAAACTACTATGGAAATCAGTGCAGAGGTTCCTCAAAAACATTAAAAATAGAACTACCAGAAGATCCAGCTATTCGACTTCTGGGTATATATCCAAAGAATGAGCTCACCTCTTAGAGATATCTGCATATCCATGCTTAGCGTAGCACTATTCATAGGGAATCAATGTAGGTGCCCATCAATGAAGAAGCAAAATGTGGTAAATATAATGAAATCATTTAGCTGAAGAACAAAATTAGATTGCATGCAGGAAAAGGGATGGAACTGAAGATCATCATGTCGAGCAAAATAATCCAGACTCACAAAGACAAGTATTCCATGTTTTCTATCACATATGAAATGAAAGTAAAAGGAGGGCTAATAGGGATTTGGAAGGCTAAAAGGGGGGGAGGGAAAGGGGATAAGAGAGAGTGAAAGGGTGAATATAATCAAAGTATGTTATATGCCTGTATGAAAACATCACAGTGAAACCCATTACTCTGTACAATTAATACACACTAACTAAAAAATCTTAAACACCATCATTCCCTCCTCAGCCCTGGCCTGTCTCTCTCATATTCTTCACTACAATCTAATGACCCTGTCCTTCTGCTAGCTAAGAAAATGACGTAATTTCTTCCCTGACTCTCTAAGTGGGTTCTCTATTTCTCGGGTAGAGGACCCTATTATTTATTTCGTTTCCTGCATTTACCACAGTTTACCTTGTGTTAAGTCATGTCTGTGCCTCCCACTAAAAAATCAATTTCAGGAGAGCAGAGATACAGCTGTAGCATGTCTAACACATGTAGCCGCTCAGTAAATATTCTCTGAATTACTGAATTTCTTAAACTGTCCCACAGACCAGACCTGCAGCTGCATACAAACTTCACACTTGATTCAGATTTGTTACTCTGTGAATTTACATTGTGCACTTTGAAGGTGACTCACATATCCTTGAAAACAGAAAAGTGAAATCACAGTCTGCTAGAGGTTTGTTACACGTTGTACATAATTTAAGTTCTCCTCAATATCATAATTATCTCCGTGAATGCAAGTGAAGAGATTAGTGAAAGACCAGCTTCCCACATGCTAAATAGCCCTAGACTTTTATGTATTTTTCAGATTCTTGTATGTGATTTGCTATCCCTGACAGTGTTAGAGAAATTTAATGTGCATAACACAGAGCTAACTATGAGGTAATGCAACTAAGTTCTCAGCAAGCATTTCAGAAGTTAGGTAGGCAAGTAAATATTGTCTTTCAAGGTTATAAGGAAAGGCCAATTCAATATGTCTTCATTCATACTTTTGAAATGCCTAGTTTGCAATTGCCTGAATATAGATTACATGGATTCTAGACATCAAATACACCCTTAAAAGGATAAGGATAAGAGCCACCCCTGATTTTATTAACATCAACAGGCCTCAAACTCTGAAAGCAAGTCCAAAGAATATTTAGAAACTCTCTTAGGAAATCTTACTTAAACTTAAAAAACCATGGAGTCTTGTTAAGTGTCTTTAAAAGTAGATAATTTATAAGAATGAATGATTTTGACTTTATAAATTGGAATCTTATCTATTTATTTGTCTTTTTTTTTTTAATTTGGATTAGAGTTTGAACTCAGGGCTTCATGCCTGTAAAGCAGGTGCTCTACCACCAGCACCAGCCTCATTTTCACACTTAAGAAGGCACAAACAAGTCCATCCAGTTTTGAAAAATAAGTCCATGCCTTCACTGGATTTATAGGATGGTCACATCCTGATCCTATAAGATTGAGGTCTTCCTGGTACCAGTACAGTCCAGGTGTTATGGCTCAAACCTGTAATCCTAGTTACTTGGCTGGCATAGATCAGGAGGACAGTAGTTGGAAGCAGTCTGAACAAACAGTTCACAGGACCTCATCTCAACTAATAAAAATGTGGGTGCAGTAGCATGTATCTGTCATCCCAGCTACATACAGCAGGGAAGCATAAAATAGGAAGTTTGCACAAGATCTCAAAATGACCAAACTGCAAAAAGGGATGGAGGTGTGGCTCAAGAGGTAGAGCACCTGCCTAGCAAGCATGAGGCCGAGTTCAACCCTCAGTAGTGCCAAAAACAAACAAACAAACTTAGCACCAGTACATTTCTCCTATCTTCACTCTGATGCTCCACAGCAGCTGCATGTATTTCCTCCTATAACAGTAAGTACATAACACAGTTCAATGGAGCGATAAGGGTTGGGAGTTTGAGTGGAAGAGCACTTGCCTTGAGTACTCAAAAAGCCCTGGGTTTGATTCTTAGCACAGCTGGGTAGAAAAGTGGGCTGGGGGAGGGGAAGGGAGAGGGAGAGAGAGGGAGGGAGGGAGGGAGAGAGAGGGAGAGGGACAGGGAGAGGGAGAGAGAGGGAGAGAGAGAGGGAGAGAGAGGGAGGGAAGAAGGAACCATGAGTAAAATAGGTTGAACCTACTCAACAATTGTATTGGCTCTCAGGGATCATGGTCTATAAATGTAGTATGAACTTAGAATTGATGCCTTTAATACTCCAATTAATAGGTGACTTAGGGCCTGCCAGTATAGGACACAACTGGTCCACAGTCATAAGGAACTCACAACTGAGAATAAAATTAACCATATCAGAAAGTGTTCTGAAAGAAAACCATTATACATTTTTCTAATGTAAGAGATATGTAAAGAACTATTTTTTAAGTTAAAAAGTCAAACTGGCAATTAAGAGGCCTTCTTAATAGAATACTATATTTATGAAAGATAACTAATTATTATTTGGTAGATTTAAAATCAAGTGCTCTTAAACATGTGACATCTGAGAAACACAAAAGAAACTGATTTGACTTAAATATGCATGCTTAGGTCTCAAGCTTGTCACTTAGTTTAATTTAGTTTAGTTTTTAAAACCAAAATGTTTTGGTTTTAAAAGGTAATACTTCAAGAAAGAAAATCATCTTGTCTTGACCTTGTGCTTTGTGTGTGATTAAATTCTGCTGTAGAGTCATACTTTGATTTCAAAGTAAATTATTTTCCAGGTGTTTATTGAACATGTAACCCAATAGGCATTTTGATATTTGAGGTACCTAGCAAAATATCTGAGAATAATTGCAAAAGACAAGAAAAAGTAACTAGAAAGTACCCTTGCCAACTGGCAATTCTAACTAACTGCTCCGGATAAATGGCATATGTCTTTTCTTCAGATACATTCTTTGATTTTTCAAAAGCACTTATTATAAAAACTTTATTGTTTCTTTGTGTCAGTGCATGAGTTTCTACTTGGAAATACCCTTGATTTTCCTCACTTTGCAAGATTCATGGGGACCACATTTGCAGGTTTTCATTTTATGTTTTATTTTAGTGGTTATCCATTTCACAGATCTCTTCTAGATGGCTTTTTTCTTCCTTACTGAGGTAACACAAAGGATTTTCAGACTTTGCCTTGCAGGAAACCTCTATGTATCTATTGTTGATATAAAACTATTATAATCACTGTCTCAAGAAATAGCACAGCATCATAGTCCAGAAGAATTTATTTTACTGCTTTGTAGAGAATAACTAATGGCAGCACATATTTTGTTCTCTGAAAAGATTATGATGGTAACTACTTTCATCTCACTTTCTAAACTCAAAACTGGGAGAAATTTTAAAGAGAAAACATTTCGTTTATATATATTGCATATTACTAATTGATTGATTTCACTTTATTTCTTTGAAGTTCTCATAAGCTTTTTTTATTTATACCTTGATAAATAGGGAGTGGTTGATTGCCACCAGTAAAAGTGCTTAAAAACCACCTGGAAAAACACATGATGCACAACAGTTATGACATTAAAAAAATCTTCATTTAAAGAATTAAACTATGATTTCTAAATTTGTGCCCTCGTAAGAAACAGTAAGAAGTTCACATTGTAAGTATTGACACAAAAAAATCTCACATTAGATTTCTGAATTTGCATGCTTTGGTTATCAATCTTAACCTAAAAGTAACAAATTTCTAGACTTGTTACTTACTATTCTTTAATGTTATGGAGGTAACTACCTGCAGAGTGAAAAATAAAAAGTATTCAGAAGTGATTAATGTCAAGGGTGGGAAAGAAACAGGGCACAGAAGGATGACAATTTAAAAACTTTTC